TTACCTGCCTTACTCTTCAGTAAGGCACTTCTCTTTCCTTTCCTCCACTCAAATACTCCAGCAAGGGATGCTGCAGAAAGACCACAAACCACAGTTTCTAACAAAGTATCGCAGTCCAAGTAGTTCCTGACAAGGGAGGGAAAATGGCACAGTAGGAAAAGAAAGGTCCTACACATTTCCCCTCACAAACAGGAAAGAATCATTCGTGTGTTCATTCATTCAAACAACATATACCAAGTAGCAGGGTGTGCTGAGTCCCTGGGCGGTGCAAACAGTTAATGCACTTAGCTGCTAACTGAAAGGTTAGGGGTTCAAGTCTACCCAGAGGTGCCTTGGAAAAAACACCTGGTGATGTTTCTGAAAAATCGGCCATTGAAAACCCTATGGAGCACAGTTCTACTCTGACACTTATGGGACACAATGAGTTGGAATCAACTTGACAGCAAATATTTGTTTATTTGTCTTTACCATGCTATGCTGGTACTGGGTTAAGCACTGGGAACAGAACACTGAATAAGAGAGAAGGTCCCTATGCTTACCATCCAGAGGAGGAGAAAGACATTAGTGATCTAATGGCAAAAACAAATTACAATTATTCTGCAACTACCTGTTGCTCTAAGACTATGTAAAAGGGACAGAGGGAGATGTTTCAGTGCAGTCTGGAGGAATCACTGCCTCCTTGAAGAACAGAACTGAAGTGAACTAAAGGCCAAGCAAGGAGTTGATCTGTCCTGGGGGAAGAAGAGCCTTACAGACAGAAGGAAGGAACCATCCACCCAAAGGGGTCACCAGGAGGCCTGGGTGCTTGGGAACTGGACTTAGACAGCCCATGTGGACAGAGTGCAGGCCCAGGGGAGCTGGGCCAGTGGAGTGGACTTCTCGTCACTCAGCCTCTTACAGAGGGATGGCCAGCCTTGGCCGGTCCAGAGGGGACAAGATTCCACTAGGGATGTTTGGTGGAACATTGGGTGCTTCTCTCACAAAACAAACACTGGTGAGAAGGGAGTAGCCTTGTTCCCTTCAGAATAAGAAAACTTTGAGTTTCCATCAAATCAGCACACTCCCCAGGGGACTGATTTCAAGACAATTTTATCCAGCTAATAGCAATGAGGAGCTCTAGGCAGTGGCACATTGTGTGGAAAGCTAGGTCATCTCGCTCTCTTCCTTCCCTCTCCCCACCTTCCACTTATTGTCCTTCTAATATAACAACATGTTACTCTGAATGGACAGCGCAAGACAATTGGGCATTATTTTGTATGAGCTCATTCCTAAACCATAGAAAAGCCTCCCCTCCACTGCTTCCCTTCCACAAACATACACCTCCCTCAGTAGTCCTGAGACTCGCAGGTATATTAAAGTCCACCTTCTGAAGTTAAGTCATACATCATTGAGGCTTAGGACCCCAACATAACACCTGCCATTCCTTCTCAGGCTGGTAGCTGTGTGTTCCTTTGCCTTTATAGATAGATACATGATAGACAGATGGATGGATGGATGGCTAGATGCCACACACACACAAAAAAAACTCACTGCCATGGAGTCGGACCCGATTCATAGTGACCCCTCCTTGGGTTTCCAAGGTGGTATCACTATGAAAGTAGATTGCCCAACCTTCCTGCTGAGGAGTAGCTGGTGGGTTTGAGCCACCAGCCTTCTGGTTAGCAGTCAAATGCCTTAGGCAGCACACCACCAAAGCGCGCATGTATATATGGCAGTGTTTTAGGTGAAAGTTCACACAGCAGTTTAGTTCTCCATCCTGCAGTTTCTACAGATAGTTCAGTGGTGTTCTGCACAAGGTATGAGCCTTCTCATTAGTTACGTTCTGATTCTGTTGAAGCTATTTTTCCTGCCCCTTGCATTCTTACCTTTGTTTTAAAGTAACTGTTGATCTTTTGGTCTCTATAGATGATTTTTTAAAGGAGCCAGTACTTATGGGTGACGGTCATTATTTTGTGAGCCAGTCTGTTATTTAGCTAAAAGATGACCTCAGGGGTTAGTTTAGTTCAGCTTTTAAAGAGTATCACAGGACAGTAGTTACAGGAAATCCTCCTCTCGGCAGGTTTACTGCAGCTGGTTTTTCTGTTTGTCTTTTAGCAATTTGAGGCTCCGTTCCATGTTTTTCTCTCATTCTGTCAGGGTCCATCTATTGTGGACCCTGATGAGAACAGTCAGTAGTGGTACCAGGCACTGTCTGGTTCTGGTTGATGAGGGTTCCTTTGCTTTTTATAATGAAGGAGACAGTACAAAAAGTAACATTTTAGTACTTGGGTTGTTTCAGGAGGCCTGGAAGGTACATGTCTTGTGGTGAAAATCATGGTGTCAAACCCCCAAATCCAGAGCAGTATTTGACTCCTCTGCAGCAGAAGGAGGTCACAGTGAGACATCTCAAGACCAAGCTGAAGGAATCTGAGCGCCGGCTTCATGAGAGGTGAGTCCAGGTTACTTGTATACTTCGGTTTAGGATAATGCATTGTTTTCCATACAGTGAAATATGAATCTAAACACAGAAAAGAAGAAATGGTTTATTTAATTGTTGCCAAGTTTTTTGAACCAGTCTCTCAAATAAACCGTTTCAGGATTCTGTGTGACTCAGCTGTTCCAGGAGTTCAGGAGCACTGGTCAGAGGAAACCCTCTGCTATTTCTGGGCGTGTACAGCTTTGACTTGAAAAGTTGGGTGTGTGTGTGTATGTGACTATTTTTAAGTGGCAGGAACACTCAACGGAACAATCCGGCACTTCCAACAGAATGTCCTACAAATTTTGTTGTTGTTAGGAATCATCAAGGCACTTTTGACTCATAGCATCTCTGCATACAACACAACAAAACACTGGCCAGTCCTGTGCGTCCTCACAGTCATTGGTGTTTCAGCTCATTGTTGCAGCCACTGTGTCAATGCATCTCATTGAGGGTCTTCCTCTTTTTCACTGACTCTGCTTTACTAAGTATGATGTCCTTTTCCAGGGACTGGCCTGGTCCCTCCTGGTAACACGTCCGAAGTATGTGAGACAGTCTCTCCATCCTCGCTTCTAAGGAGCATTCTGGCTTTGCTTCTCCCAAGACAGATTTGTTCATTCTTCTGGGAGTCCATGAAATATTTAATACTCTTCACCAATACCATATTTCAAAGGCATCAGTTCTTCAGTCTTCCTTATCCAGTGTCCAGTTTTCGCATGCATATGAGGCAATTAAAAATACCATGGCTTGGATCAGAGGTACCTTAGTCTTAGTCCTCAGTGTTACATCTTTGCTTTTTAACAATTGAAAGAAGTCTTTTGCAGCAGATCAGCTCAGTACAGTATGTCATTTGATTTCTTGACTGCTAGTTCCATGGGTGTTGATAGTGGATCCAGGTAAAATGAAATCCTTGGCAACTACAGTATTTTCTCCATTAATCATGATGTTGCTTATTGGTCCAGTTGTGAGGAATTTTGATTTCTTCATGTTGAGGTTAATCCACACTGAAAGGTATAGTCTTCGATCTTTATCAGCAAGTGCTTCAAGTCTCTTCACATTTAGCAAGCAAGATTGTATCATCTGCACATCACAGGCTGTTAATGAGCCTTCCTCCAATCCTAATGCTTCATATGGTCCAGCTTCTCAGAATATTTGCTTATCCTACAGACTAAATACTGTATGGTTTAAAATCAGGGAGGGTATGCATCAGGGTTGTATCCTTTCACCACACTTATTCAGTCTGTCAAAAAAAAAAACCCAAACTCATTGCCATCAGGTCATTTCGACTCATAGTGACCCCTTCTTGGGTTTCCAAGGCAGTATCTCTACGGAAGTAGATTGCCCAGTCTTCCTTCTGAGGAGTGGCTGGTGGGTTTGAACCTCCAGACTTCTGGTTAGCAGTCACATGCCTTAGGTATTATGCCACCAGAGCTCTGATTACCACTGTGACTGAGAATGGCTTTGTGCATTGTCATTCCTGCCACTGTTTCTGTGCTGGGGGAAGAGTTTGTTACTCTTGGCCAAGTGGTAGGTAAAAAAAGAAAACAGAAGAGACCCAGTCCATGCCTATTAGATCTTATCTTAGAGGGAAACATCTTTGACATCTTGGGACTCCAAGATGTTGTAGCTGTGAACATCTCAGGGTGAGAGTGGGGTTTGCATTTTGTGGGAGCCTCGGGGTCTGATGCAGTACACCCGATCAGCCTACTTCTCCTCCTCTGTCCCCACACAGATTGTCAAAGGCTTAATGTCTTTAGTTGATGAACCCTGGACAGATAAGGGTGGGGAATGTGGAGAGGGGATCCTTTGTATTTCAAATTCACTTTGCTCCTCGCCCGCCTGAAGGAGACTTGAGAGCCAGATTCATTTCTGGGGTGAGTCATATTCCTGTTTCTGAAGTATTTGGCTTATGATTTGAGGGTATCCTTGTGTGCTCTCATGAGAGAGAAGTATGGCGAGGCATTGAAACTTGAGGAGATATTCAAGCCTGGACTTAAGAAAGCAATACTAGCAACAAATATATGAATATCCTAACTACCTTCACTACACAGTCACCAAAAATATGAGGACATATATTTACCTTGATTGTAAAGTAGTCGTATTACACGTAAGGAAGAATTTCTCAACAAAGATTTTGAAGTAGATTCCTGTGAAGGTTCTAAAAAATAGGAGAGATTCTCCTCAGTTTAGGCAGGATTTAAGATCATCTTACTTGAGAGGAGTTAGAATAACTTTTCACGATATCCTTGTACATGGGAAAAATATTTTTCATGATTAAAAATAATTTTCAATTAATACTGGAATAGGATCTGACTACAAGTCCAAAAAGTATGTCCTTGATAGGTCATTAAAAAATGAAATGGATTTTACTTCCAGAAACTGTTATGAACAATATGAAAGGTTACGCTACAGAGATAATATCAGGCTGAGACTGTAATGTGTTCTAATAATAAAATTTCAAATCTTAAGTATTAAATAGAGATGACATTTGTAAAGTACTTAATGCAATGCCTGACATACAGTAAGTATTCAAAAAAAAAAAAAAAGAACAATAGCAGAGATTTTGATTATAATTTTTGGCTATTTTACAAAGAAAAAATTTCAAAACTGATTCAACCTGTGTTTCAAGTGGAAGAACATGGACTCTTGGCTGTGTGTCAGACTTGCCTGCTGCCTATTTCAAATCTGACATTTTCCTTAACCTTGCTTGTCTTCCCACTGTAGGGAAAGTGAAATCGTGGAGCTCAAGTCCCAGCTGGCCCGTATGAGGGAAGACTGGATTGAAGAGGAGTGCCACCGGGTGGAGGCCCAGTTGGCACTCAAGGAAGCCAGGAAGGAGATTAAACAGCTCAAGCAGGTCATCGAGACTATGAGGAGCAGCTTGGCTGATAAAGATAAAGGCATCCAGAAGTATTTTGTGGACATAAATATCCAAAACAAGAAATTGGAGTCTCTCCTTCAGAGTATGGAGATGGCACACAATGGCTCTCTGAGAGATGAACTGTGTCTAGACTTTCCTTGTGATTCCCCGGTGAAAAGCTTCACCCTAAATACCTCTTTTGGCAAGATGGCAGATGGGCTGTCCCTGGAAGAGCAGGTCACAGAGGAAGGGGCTGACAGCGAGCTGCTGGTGGGAGATAGTATGGTCGACGGCACAGATCTGTTTGATGAGATGGTGACAGCCACCACCACAGAGTCTGGCGACCTGGCCCTTCTTCATTCCACCCGTGGGGCAAAGGTCCTTGAGATCCCCATTGAGGTGGGTCAAGAGGAGGGCAGTGTGGTGGTGGAGCAAGCTGTCCAGACCGACGTGGTGCCGTACAGCCCCGCTGTGTCAGAGCTCATTCAGAGCCTGCTCAAGCTCCAGGACCCATGTTCCTCGAGCTCAGCATCCGCTGATGAGTCTTGGGCTGAGCCAACAGAAAGCCCCCTAGAGGCCATCCCTGCCTTAATGATTGATTTAACTCCAAGAAACCCAAATTCAGCCATCCTTTTGTCTCCTGTGGAGACGCCATACAACAGAGTGGAGGTGAAGGCTCACGAAAGCCACCTCATGAAAGAGCTGGATTTTGCAGTCTGCACAGAAGACAGTTTGGACGGCATCGTCCCATTGTCTCGGGGGGCCGTGGCGAAGCAGTACTGGAGCAGCAGTTTCCTGGTGGATCTCCTGGCTGTAGCTGTCCCTGTGGTCCCCACCATTTTGTGGGCATTCAGTACTCAGAGGGGGGGAACAGAGCCTGTCTACAACATTGGCGCCTTGCTCCGAGGCTGCTGTATGGTTGCACTGCATTCACTCCGCCGCCCCACCTTTCACATCAAGACATAAATAGCAGTTGTTGTTATGGTGTGCCAATTTGTCCCGTGTGGCATCGTGCCAGGTGGAGAAACAGCAGGTCGAACTGTGGCAGTCTCTGGTCTGTCGTGTTGCTCCTCGGTGTTTGATTTGCACTATATTTAGTTGAAGCCTGTTCACTGTTTAAATCCAGAGGTTTCTTCAAAGGCATGGAGACCTGGTTCAAGTAAATGTCCCACCAGTGTGGTATAGAAAGCATGCTCATGACCCTGCCGTATTGTCTGAGGTGCCCGTTCCTATCCCAGTGGTTCAGGAAGAGAAAATGCAGAGTTTGCACTTTCAGGACAGCTTCTGTAAGGCTGGCATGTTATCTCCTTGCTTTGCTTCGTGCTGTTTTAAAATGTGTAACTGTTTCAGCATTCCAGTGGTCTTGTGCATAGCAGGGGATTGTAACCAAAAATAAAAATGTATTTGTGTATAGGTTTGAAGAAGTCTTGAATAGCTCTTTAGTGTCTTACTTGGGGTTGATAAGGTTTGAGTGTGGTTTTTTTACTAAGTGTAGCTCCAAAGTCTTAAATGGCTTGTTTGTTCTTAAACCTGTTAATTGATGAGATGGTTTGTAGGTTTACAGTGTATTAATTTGCTGACTGTATAGCGTGTTTTACTGGAAGTTGTTTGTAACCATACATTTAAGCATGACAAAATAAAGACTAGTGTTCCCATTTAAATGAATGTTTCATCCTCCTATGTCTGTGGTTTGACTTTAACATATGACTAGATGGACAGCAGATCCTTCCTTCTTTATCAGTAGGGGATGTGTATATGGAATTAATGTAAGAAATGAGAAAGAGAGAAAAATAATTCTGAACGAAAGGTGAGGGTTTCCTACCCTATCTTTAACAAAACTTCATTACTGAATGAAAAAAATTTGACCAAATATTTGTCTTCACTTTTTAATTACCATGCATTTCTCTGCACACGTATTAATATAATTAAAACTAGGTATACAGTAGAGGGAAAATATGTGACTGTGTCTAGTTCATTTTCTTGCACAAAATGAGGATGGAAGGCAGGAGTGAATAAAAGAAAGTAAAAAGTGAAAAGCAGCATATACTTTTTTTTTTTTTTTTTTTTTTACTGTGGAAGAGAGTAGTGAGTGATGTGTCAGGGTTTCTTTGTTTTGGTTCTACCCCCATCCCCACTACAGTATTGAAATAAAGCATGTCCCCATCCCTACTACAATATTGAAACAAAGTATATTTTTACGCTTTTGCAGATGATCCAACAGAGAAATAAACTGATGGTGGTATTGCTTCCTAGGGCTGCCATGACAATGTAGCACAAATTATGTGGTTTATAAGAACAAAAATTGATTGTCTCAGTTCTAGAGGCTAAATCTCAAAACATGCATTGCCATGGAATACATTCTGACTGTAGTGACCTTACAGGACAACAGAATTGCCTCTAGGGTTTCCAAGGCTGTAAGTATTTATGGAAGTAGACAGATACTTTCTTTCTCCTGCAGAGTGTGATGGATTTGAACAGCTGACCTCTCAGTTAGTAGCCAAATGCTTTAACCACTGTACCACCAGGGCTCCTACTCTGAAGGAATGTTCATTCTGAGGGCTCGGAGGAAGAATCTATTCCATACCTCCTTCATAGCTTCTGCTGATGCCCAGCGATCCTGGCCATTCCTTGGCTTGGAGATCATGCCAGCCTCTGCTTCTGCCTTCCCTCTGTATCTGTGTCTCCAGTTTTTTATAAGGCACCACTCATATTCAGAACAGAACGTGGAATGAAGGCTATCATTGCTGATGTCAGATGGATCTTGCCTGAAGGCAAAAATACCAGAAAGATCTTTACTAGTGTTTTATTGACTACACAAAGGGATTTGACTTGTGTGGATTGTAATAAATTATGGGTAACATTGGAAAATGGGAATTCCAGAACACTAAACTGTGCTTATGAGGAACCTGTATACAGACAAAGAGGCAGTTCTTAGAACAAGGGGATACTGCATTGTTTAAAATCAGGAAAGGTGTGTGTCAGGTTGTATCATTTCACCATACTTACTCAATATGTATGCGGGGCAAATAATCTGAGAAGCTAGATGTGGTAAAGTTGTGTGTCAACTTGATGGGGCTGTAAGTGAAATAAAGTCTAGCCATTCTCACTTTTAAGAAGCATTCTGGTGTACTTCTTCCAAGACAGATGTGTTTGATCGGGCAGTCCATGGTACATTCAGCATTGTTCACCAACACAATTCAACTGCATCAGCTCTGTGCTCTTCCATATTCATTGACCAGCTCTCACATTCATATGAAGCTACTGAAAATACAATGGTTTGGGCCAGGTGCTCCTTCCCCTTCAAAGCGACATCATTGGTCTGTAACACTTTAAAGAGGTCTTTTGCAGCAGATTTGTAAGTGATTGAGTGGCTTAACAGCTAGATGTAGTTGTTCCCCATAATGAGATTGGATGTGGTGTAATCAGCTCCATGGTGGCATCTGCTGCGAGCAGCTAATTAGTTGCCTTCAGGATGTGGCCTGCTTCCAGTATATATGGAGAAGCTTTGAGAACGGTCTCTAGCTTTTTGGCACATTTGGATCCTGTATTGAGATAAGTCTTCATCTCCAGTTCCTACCCTGAAACAGCGGCCTGCTGTGTTGTCTGCCAATCTTAGGATAGTTCCTGGACTTGAACCAGTGGCCTGCCATGTTGCCTGCTCATCTTGGGACTGTGCCATTTTACCTGCCAATCTTGGGTTCCTCAGCCTCAGCAGCCAGCAGCTGCATGGGTTAGAAGAAGCCTCCAGCTCCACTGGGCCTAGAAGAAGAGGCAGAGCTGAAGCCCACGGCCGAGGGGCCTTCCCCTAGCCCCTAGAGCCAGCACTCTGAATTCGGACTTCTAGCTTCCTAAACTATAAAAGAATCAGTTCCTGTCTGGTAAAGCCATCCACTTGTAGTTTTTCTGTTATAACAACACTAGTCCATACTGGACTATATGAAGAAGAATGCAGCATCAGGATTGGAGGGACACTCATTAACCACCTGCAATACGCAGATAACACAACCTTGCATGCTGAAAGTGAAGAAGACTTGAAGCACTTACTGATGAAAATAAAGACTACAGCCTTCAGCATGGATTACACCTCAACATAAAACAAAAATCCTCACAAGACCAATATGCAACATTATGATAGGTGGAAAAAAAAATTGAAGTTGTCAAGGATTTCATTTTACTTGTATTCACAGGAAGTCCCCATGGAAATAGCAGTGAGTAAATTGAATTTATGGCATTGGGCAAATCTGCTGCAAAAGACCTCTTTAAAGTGTTACAGACCAATGATGTCACTTTGAAGGGGAAGGAGCACCTGGCCCAAACCATTGTATTTTCAGTAGCTTCATATGAATGTGAGAGCTGGTCAATGAATAAGGAAGAGCACAGAGCTGATGCAGTTGAATTGTGTTGGTGAACAATGCTGAATGTACCATGGACTGCCCGATCAAACACATCTGTCTTGGAAGAAGTACACCAGAATGCTTCTTAAAAGTGAGAATGGCTAGACTTTATTTCACTTACTTTGGTCATGTTGTCAGAAGGGACCAGTCCCTGGAAAAGACTATCATACTTGGTAAAGTAAGAGGGTCAGCAAAAAAGGGGAAGACCCTCAGTGAGATGGATTGACACACTGGCTGCAATAACGGGCTCAAATATAGGAATGATTGTGAGGATGATGCAGAACCCAGGAGTGTTTGGTCCTTTGTACATAGGGTTGCTATGAGTCTACACTGGCTTCCTGGCACCTAACACTACCACTACCACCACCACCACCACCACCACCACCACCACCACTCATAGTGGATTAGGACCCACACTACTCCAGTATGTGACTTCATCCTGATATTTTCAAAGGCCCTATTTCTACACATGGTCCCCTTCACTAGTTCTATGGGTTAAGACTTCAACATATCTTTTTTTGGGGGGAAAGCAATTGATGACAACAACATACTAGAGAAAGAGGCCACTAAAGAAGGGAATCCCTTGAGACAAGAGGCCTTAGGATCCAGGGCATGAGGATGTATGTGTGGAGAGGTGGTCTGTGTTTGATAGGACATTCCTTCCTTTGGAATACACACATGCCTTAGCCATGTACACGTGCACTTACACAACACAAATCAGCAGTACAGGGAGTGGACCAAAATGAACAACTATTTCTGGAAGTAAGTAATTGGAAGTGTCACCACATACTGCACCATAGTGACTTAGGTTCCTTCCAGTAGTCAGCTCACATCAATCTAGCATCTTCCTTACAGTCTTGTCTTGTATTTATTTTTAGTCATTGCTAAATTAAAGCATTTTTACTTCAGGAAAAACCTTAAGCTTATTTTGGGTATCCACTTGTTGCTAAAGAAATAAATTGAACCACACAAACTCACCATTGTTCTTCATCCATTCAAGCTTGATAGGGTGTGTCCTGATGAGAAAGCAAGCCCCTCAAACCACACAGTGCCTAAGGCATTTGACTGCTAACCTGAAGGTTGGCAGTTCAAATGCACCAGCCTCTCCCCAGAAGGAAGACTGGGCCCTCTACTTCCATAAAGATTTACTGCCTCAGAAACACAAAGGGGGTGTCACTGTGAGTTGGAATCAACTCAATGACAGTGAGTTTGGTTTTGGATCACAAATAGCAAATTGGTTTGCTGTGTTAATGTTCTATATCCAGCTCTAAGAAAGAGATTTAAACAAAGCAACCTATTTGAGACAGATTTTGGACACTGCATATTCCATCCACACTGGAACAAAATGGCACAAAGATACAAGAGGAGATCCTGGAGCAGTTATTCCTTACTTTTTCCTTCCTCTTGGTCTCCCTCTTCTTTTTCCCTTCCCCATCTCCTCCTCCTTCAGGGTTTTAGCATGTAGTCTATGGAAAATTACTGCTGTGATTCAGAACAAAATCTCTCACAGGAGTCCCTTGGAGTCCATAAAAGATGGAACCTAGCTCGCCTTTCGGAAGCCCAAGGCGTTGGCTGGTTTTGTGGACAGGATGAACTGATCCCATAGAAAGAAGTGCCTTAAAGTTGTTTTCACTCATTTGAATCCTTGTGATGTACAAATAGCAGGAAAATGGAAAAAAAGAACAATTCCACTCTATTGAATAAATTGCTGTCCTATCAAAGCAAATGTTAAATATTTCCTACAGTTATGTGTGCAAACATTCCAATTTACAAGAAAAGATTCCCCCCTCCCAAAGGGATATGCTGACCTTTCCAAGTTGAGCTGTTCAGAAAGGGGGAGGAAATGCAATCTACTCAGATGCCAAGCATTCTGACATTTGTGGCAGGAGAAAGAGGAAGTCTGTGATTTGCATTTATCCCAGGCCTTGCCTGAGTGCTGGTTGAGGCTGATAGGTTTTTCTCTTGCAGGTTTTTCATTTCAGAAGGTTTGGGGTAGCTTCTGACTTCCAATGCTAACTTTTACAAAATTCATTTCCATTCTTGCCAGGCAAAATGTACACAATGAAGCAATGACCTGGAAAATAAAAAATTACAATTCATAGCAATTGAATCTTGGAAGAACGTCAACAACTTCCAGTTGTCCAGAACAAAAAGAAAATTAGTCTAAATAGAATGAAACAGACTTATATCAGAAATTACTTCTAAATCACTGGAAGGCATACTTGCTGTGACAGATTTCCCCACCACCATAATGATTGTGACAACTAATGGTTATAACAGTAATTCC